AGTAGTTGTACTTGTTCGTGCTTAATTTGTGTTTGGATGATTTACCTTCGAAAAAAATCTGCCCACGTCTCGCATCCCAAGGAAGGGCATCTCGCACTCCCAAGGGAGTGCGTGCACCCCCAGGTTAAGAACCACTGCTCTGTGGGTTCCGCTTAATATTACGGCGCTTGGGGGTTGATTGCCGTCACTCAGAACGGGGTCAGTGTTGTCCTGCTTATATACGTTATATAATGCTTCAGTATGAGTTAGTTTAGTTCGGGTTAGGTCCATTGAGCCAAGGATTCAATTTACAACGGCGACCCTGCCAAAGAGGCGAGGCGCGTTCAATGGGAAGGGTTTACAGGGCCTGCATGGCACGGCTGGTGTGACGGGAGCCAGCACGCTACATGGGCAGGGAGGGTTTACAGGGCCTGCATGGCACGGATGGTGCGATGGGAGCCAGCACGCTACATGGGCAGGGAGGGTTTACTGGGGCTGCATAGAACAAAAAGGGACATTGTGTCACTACGAGTAGAGAACCCGTTGTGGCAATGCAATGGAAAGTGAGAGACAGCTGTCATTGCCACGCTCTTACAATCCTCCTGTACTCGGAGCACAAAGGGTAATCTGTTATTTTATGTAAATACGTATTGTGAGGTTTGTGTTTCCATAATCTAGGAATAAAATAATGAGGAAAGAATTACATTAATAGGACCACAAATTTAAAAGTTCGGACAATTGTAAATGAACCGTGGCAAGTCGTCTGTGTTCGTTACTCCCTTTTCTTCCGTGTTCCTATCCCGTACATGTCGTCCGAACTTGTTCCTCCGCCAATTCAATTCAATGCAATTGTAGTGGGTTCACGGGACACGGAGACGGTGGAGTAGAGGCAGCATTGTTTATTCAAGCTTAACAAGGGTTACACTGGAAGGGGTAACGGCCCCTTCACCCGTATACACGCTGGGACACCCCCTAGGCTATCTAGCCTAATTCCTGTGCTCCCAGTTCCTCCGCTACAGGCGCTAGAGGAGGCTATCTGATCTGGCCCTGGTTAAGCACAGATCACGGCACCCCACCAACCAGACCGGCCCTTAAAAGGGCTCCGGCTCTGAGGCACTGGGGCCGCACCACCGGCTTACCCTGCCGACCCTCAAAAGGACAGCGGTCAGGGAAGTCCCAGGGTCTATCTAGCCGGCCTTCCTTCTTCACTGGTTCTTCATTCTTGGCCCCAACACACTGCCCCGAGCTCTCTGGCTCCCCGCCCTTTATACTTATACACCACTGAGGGCGGGGCTATAGCGGACGTGGTTGTAGCCACCATGGTGTGACTGTATGTTACCTTCCCGCAACACCCCTACACAATGTTTAGTTCTTACACGGATAATCCCCTGCAGCCAGTTACCAAGCTAGTTCCGGTGGCAACGGCCGGCAGACACTGACAACAGAGTTATTGTTGGAGTGGAGAAGAGCCCAGCCAGCAGCCAGCCATGAAACTCGAGGCATAGATTATTTGAATTAAAACCAGAAGTATATGGTGACTAATACATAGTAATAATCATATGTAACACGTCAAACTTCAGACCACGCAGCGGAAATTCCGAACACATCACCAGATTTTTCCAAACGCGCGAGTCGCCAATATGTTGTCGTGGGACATTTGATTTCACGTTTGACGTGCAACTCTGTCACCAAAATTAAATGTAACATTTGACTTTGCGAGTAATTCTCGTTAGGTCGATCTTGTCTGTACTCACTTGTCCAATACAGTGTCCAGCATGCACAGTTGTGTTTTCTCCATGAGCCTCGGAGCAACACGAAGGGAATCATTCTCAAATACGGGATTCTCCGGATTATAAAAAAAAGTTCCCGAAAGTAAAACGCGCTCCAAACTTGTGCCCGGTGTCATTAAAGTTACACGGATCTGGCATACACGCACAGACACATTACACAAACCCGGTTAAAAGATACAACTCCAATTTTTTTGGCTACCATGGTTACTGGTCCAGTGAACTTAACTCATTGATTCCCATTTTGAAGGCTCAATCGACCAGACACTGCCTGTTTCGTCTTAATCCACACTGAGTTCAACCACCAAAATGCAGGTCACAAACACACTCACCCAACACCACACTGCAAGTCACAACAATTCACTCACTCAATCACCCACTCACTCACCACATTGCAGGTCACAACAACTAAACCACCCACTCACCACACTGCAGGTAACAACTCACCCACTCATCACACTGCAGATCACAACAACTCACCTACTCACTCACCACACTGCAAATCACAACAATTCACTCACTGACTCACCACACTGCAGGTCACAACAATTCACTCAATGACTCATCACACTATGGGACACACCAACTCACCCACTCACTCACCACACTGAAGGTCACACTAACTCACCCACCCACCACACTGCAGATCACAACAATTCACTCAATGACTCGCCACACTGCAGTTCACACCAACTCACTCACCACACTGCAGATCACAACAACTCACTCACCCGCTCACCACACTGCAGGTCACTACAACTCACCCACTCACTCACCATACTGCAGGGCACTACACTTCTCTGTCTGCTTCTTCCCCCAAGCCCTTATAGCATCGCTCAATTCGAGACACGTCTTAACTATCATCTCTTACCACTTTGATTGTGCTCTTTGTTGCTGGCCACTTGGCGTATTTGGGCTTCGTGCCTGTGCTCAGAAACTGTGTTGAAAATAAACAATAATTCAGCAGTAGATTGATAATGACTGCTGCTGTTGATTGTGGTGTTGGTGGTGGTGGTGTTGGTGGTGGTGGCAGGTGATGCCCGGCTGGTGCCGAGGAATGGCTCACGAATGGTCAACCACGTGGTGTATGCTGATGGTCTGGTGATCGCTGTTCACTCGGAGCAGGAGTCTGATGCGCTGCTGCTGAATCTGGAGCGTGCCACTCAGAGGTGGGGTCTTACCATAAGCCCCACCAAAAACTAAGCGCCCCCCTGGGTATTGCGTGCCATCAGACACCCTACACCCTCAACCCCTCATTGGTGATGAAGCAGTTGTGGAGACAGTGGATAACTTTCCATACCTGGGTAGTGTGCTTATGACCAACTGCGGTTTGACAACAGCGGTTTCACTCCGAATCATTCTGGCGACATTATCTTTCTATTGACTACGTAACGCTGTGTGGAAGCAACCTGGTCTGTCGTTCTACACGAAACTTCGAGTCATCTCGGCCACAGTCATGCCCTCCCTTCTCTATGTTTGCGAAACATGGACCCCTCTAATGGAACATCCGCGCCAATTAGAAACATTGAGGCCGGCCTGCCTACGATCCATCTTGAGTGTAACCAGGCTGGATTGTGTGAGGAGCTCACAAATCCTTGAAAGATCTGGACACATTCCCACCAGTGAGCTCCTCCAGCGGGCAAGGCTGCGTTGTCTGGGTCATGTAGCCCGCATTCCCAGCCACCGCATGCCCAAGCTGCTTTTGTTTGGCCGGATAGAGGGGGCTAAACGGGCGCGACACGGGTTGGAAAAGAGATGGACTGCTACGGCACAGGAGGATGTGGAGTTGAGTGGACATGCCGATGACTGGTACCAGCGCTGTCAAGATCGGCCTCTATGGAGGAGGCTCGTGAAGGACGCTGCTACTGGCCAGTTGGAGGCAATCACCCTCCAACAACAGCGGAGGGCAGAGGAGCGCGCTCACAACAACGAGCCAAGCGCCGGGTGGATAAAATGCAGCAAGTTGGTACAAATAGGGGGCACAGCTGGTGTGCATCTGCCAGTCGTCTGTCAGTCAACCCGTGGCACCTGGGTCTGTCCAAGTGACCTCCTGTCAGCAGCGAGCATTCGACACTTCACGTGGCCTCGCAGTGCACCTGGCCTGGCACAAGCGCCGCGGTGACGTCACCGCCAATTAGCGGCGATTGGCGGTGACGTAACCGCCAATTAGCGGCGATTGGCGGCTGCTGCTGATTGCTGTTGGTGGTGGCCAAGACTGGCAGCACCGGGTTTTTTCCCATCGGGTTTTTCACGGTGTTAATAAAAAAAACGATCATCCCAGATGGCCAAAAATCCAGTTTTATTGCCTATTAATCCCTATAATTATCTCCGCCCACCAAAGAGAAGGCAAGACAACACGTTCCGCGACAAGATGATGGTCAAAGGTCGCAAGACGCCGATTGAGTCTTGGCTGTCCGATGGCCGTGAGTGGCCCAAATTCGCCGTCGAGCTGTCCAGCATCGCCACGTCCAGCGCCGCATGCGAGAGAAACTTCTTCTCCACCACCACGGCCTTCGTTCACTCCGAGCTTAGGAGGAGCAGCCCGAACGTGAAGTCGGTGGAGAAGGTCGTCGTCTTCATCGAGAGCAACATTCACACGCCTTAATTCGACGGAGCGGTTGAGATGATCGAAGAGGACAGCGAATCCGATGACTCTGCCGCCGATTGACAACTTGACTTGCCGGATTAAAACCGTGGGGGTTTTTTTCGACAAAATCGTTTTTTAAATGAAACCAATAACCCAAAAAAATAAATCGGGTTTTTTTTACACCCTTTGGTGGTGGTGGTGGGGCGAAGCGCTCGCGATTGCTCCGCTCGCGATGACGACCCCTCGCGGGTCGTGACGTCACCTGCATCTCGGAAGTAGTTGACAAAAAAAACCCCGCGTGGCTGAAACAGCTGATCCGAGAGTGGAGAGACGGAAAGAGAGGAGGGAGAGACGGGGAGACAGAGAGAGAGAGAGACGGGGAGACAGAGAGAGAGACGGGGAGACAGAGAGACGGGGAGACAGAGAGACGGGGAGAGAGGAGGGAGAGACGGGGAGACAGAGAGAGAGACGGGGAGACAGATAGAGACGGGGAGACAGAGAGAGAGAGACGGGGAGACAGAGAGAGAGAGACGGGGAGAGAGAGACGGGGAGACAGAGAGAGACAGGGAGCCAGAGAGAGAGACGGGGAGACAGAGAGAGACGGGGAGACAGAGAGAGACGGGGAGACAGAGAGAGAGACGGGGAGACAGAGAGAGAGAGACGGGAAGACAGAGAGAGAGAGAGAGAGACGGGGAGAGGTGAGCGACGTGCAGAGACGCCGGGAGGAGAGACATGTGGAGAGACGGTCGATAGGGGAGAGAGGCAGGGATGTAGGGAGACACGGGGAGAGAAGAGGTGTGATAGACGCGGGGGATCTATGCAGAGACGTGGAGAGAGGAGAAGCCCTGGAAGAGACGGCGAGGCGCGTGACTCCCACGCCCAGCAGAGGTTTGACACCAGGGACCCCAGCGCGTACGTTGAACTTCTTTGGCGCCGTACGTAGGCAACCGTCCCGATCGGAGGTGCGAAATCGGTGATCGGCGTCCCCAGCAGGAGGTCACCCCAAACTCGACGTCGATAGAGCGATCGAGCGATCCACCTCCACCCCCCGTGGTGGTCACGGTTGTGGGTTGCCATGGAAGTGGACATCCCAGGCCGCAGCTGCAGCAACAGCAGCAGCGAGGGCCCCTCGCTCATGGGGCTCTGCGACGAGCTGCTGCTGCACGTGCTCAGCTTCGTGCCCTGCCCCGACCTCCTGGGCAGCGTGAGGAGGGTCAACCAGAAGCTCCGGGCTCTCAGCGTGGACCGCAGCCTCCTCGCCGACATCAAGCTGAGCGGGGCCTACCAGGTCTGGGCGTGCAGGCTGATCGCGGGGGCCGCTGTGCACAACCACCACCATCATCGCCGCCATCACCACCACCACCACCACCGCTACCACCAACATCACCACCATCGCCACCACCGCCACCACCACCGCCAACACCACCACCACCGCCAACACCACCACTGCCACCACCATCACCACCACTGCCACCACCACCACCGCCGCCACCATCACCGCCGCTACCATCACCGCCACCACCATCACCGCCTGGTGACATTTCACGGTCGTGTCGCACTGGTCTTGACTTGTTGTGGCCCACTTCAGTGATTAATTTCAATACGGAGCAGTTGTACCGCGTATTCATTTTCCATGTCCATGAAAACGTTTTTATTACCTATATATACCGTATATATAAAAAAAATCTTTTTGGAATTCGATGAATGTAGAGTGCAATAATGTAGGACTATTGTTAAGTAGCGTGTACTCCGGTGGCAGTGCCACACGCCGATAAGTCCCAACTCCCAAGCCAGCCGAGGAGCAGCGTTCCCGGAGAATATCGAGAAACCAAGCCCTGGCCCACCTTCCCCGGTTGCGTCCATCGCTTCGTGAAATGTTACCGGCGTGTCCTCGGGTAAGCCAAAGGCGCAGCCCTGCAATTCCTTGCCGGCTCCAGAGAGCCCCCGTCTGGAGGCGTCGTCGCCGGCTCTGCTGCCCTCGTTGGCCGTGCATCTTGAGAGAGGCGGGAGACGGAGGCGCGTGGGGGATTTGGGAAGCGTGCACATTTTGTTTGTCTCGACTGCCACGCCAGGAGAACGAACCAGCATCGACAATATAAGAAAAAATATATAACGTGTTTTTTTCTTTTACCACAGATATATTGTGTTGTCGTTCATGCAAATGGCTTCTCGCAATTGCTTACGAGCTATTTAGCTTTTTTTCAGAAGCGGCCTTGCAACAAATGATCGCTCAACAAAGTGGCTTATCACGTGGAAATGTATAGCAGTCAAACACTCTGAACGCACGTTGATTCTAAGTGTTGCGGGAAAAAACCAGAGGACCCGGAGAAAAATCCACGCAGCCAAGGGGGGGAGAACATGCAAACTCTAAATATACAAGCATATGGGTCGGGATGGAACCCACAAAACTTCTGTATTACCACACAAAGTAAGTAACAATTTGCCACTGTTGCTGCCATCCAGCCAGGCGGCGAGCCGGTGCCAATAACTGCCAAGCTCTGCTGTCCCCTATTTATACATCGAGTGTTAACAAAGCTCCACTGATCATGCTGGTTGTAATCTCCAGCAAAGCATCGTATCAAATATTGTCAACATATGTCCTTGCTTTTCCAACATTCCTCCGGTTTTGTTTATAAACCAAACCAATGTGACATTTGCCCATGACATAACAACGTGATTTGATTGGATCTGTCGCTGGATGGTGGAGCGTTCGGCTTGAAAATGTATAACCCAAAATAAACCAATTCCGAATGACGATTTTGGACGGGAAAGCCTACGTATATATATAAAAAACAAAACATTGATAGTGCTCTGAGTATAAGAAACAAACCACCACCACGTCCCTTCTCTCTGCTCCTCCCGTCGACCCCCTCCCACCCACGCGGGACCAGGTGACCGATCAAGACGTCCGCGAGATCTTGGCGTGCGCGCGCCCGGACGTGCAGAGCCTCGACCTGGGCGGCTGCTACTGGCTGTCGGCGAATGTGCTGGACGCGGTGTGCCGCTGCCGCTCACTGGTGCGGCTGGACGTGACGGGCTGCGCCCTCACCGCGACGCGCCTGGACCGCATCCTCGGCGGCGCCCCGGCGCTCGCCTCGCTCGCCATCGACGTGCGCCCGGGCTTCGACGCCACGCGGCTCGGAGCGGAGGCCCGCGCGGTGGGTAGCGGTCGTTGCCGTTGTTGTCGTGGTTGCCCCCGCTGACCCCCACCACCCCCACCCCCCCCACGCACCCCCCCCCCCCCCACCCTGGTGGCCATAGGTGGACGGGCCCCGTCCGGCACCGGCACGTTTTTTTCCGTACCGGTGCGGTGCCAATGTTGCGCCGATTCGCCGTTGTGTTGTTTAGCGTTTAGGTTTGTTTGGGGCGCCACTGTGGCGAGATGTTATCTGCCTCGCTTGATATACAGGAGGTCGTGGGTTCGAACCCGACCCTGACGCCGGCTGTATATTTGGAGTTTGCATGTCTCTTTCTCTCTCCAAGGTCACGTGGATAAGTCACTTCGTTATTTGTGATGGCCAGGTTCGCTTCTGAAAAAGAGCTATATAGCTCAGTAGGCCTTACCTGGTAAAATAAAAAAATGTTCATAGTTTTTATAGTCGTTAGCGCTGCGCAAATTCCGGTTTTATTTTCCATCGTTGTTTTTGTCGTCGTTCTGAATAATCGGCTGGCCCAGAACCGGCCAGGTGCTTCCGGCGGTGGAGCGAGTGGCTCACCATCGGAAAGGTCGCGAGTTCAAATCCTTCCTTTGGGGGGAGTCGACGGAGCCCAGTGTCCCTTCCTCCATGGTCGATAAAATAAGTACTACTTTGTCGGGGGGGATAGACTCACCCCCGTCATAGTCAAGTGGAAATTCCACCAGCGGCTGAGGCCTGTGAACGGGAAGCTAACACCTCTTTGCCGCCGATTCCAGCAGGAAATCACTTTTGAGCTTTGCGCTTTACTGTTAGATCAGCACGTCACCTAACCTCACGCACGCTCTCGCACCCTCTCTCGCAAATCTTCCCCCTCGCTATCTCACCACCGCCGCCGCCGGCAGGCGTTGGCGCGCATCACCGAGCTGCGCCAGACCCTGCTGACGCCGTCGTACGGCGTGGTGCCGTGCTGCGTCGCCGTGCGCAGACTGCTGCTGCGCCTCGAGATCCCCGACTGCGACGAGGTCGGGGGGGCGCTGCCCCCCGCGCAGCTCATGGTGGGCCAGAGCAACGTGCCGTGCTACCGGCACCTGCGCGTGTTCGCCGTACGGCTGGCGCCCGGCTTCAGCAACCAGGATGTGGCGCGCATCTACCTCTCGTCGCTGCCGGCACGCCCGCCCAGCGGCATCGAGGTGGCGGCACGGCGAGCAAACCCACGCAGCCCCCCCCCCCACCACCACCACCCCCCCACCCCCCACCACACCCCACCGCCTCTCAGCCCTCTGGCCCCATTCCCGTCCCCCGCCAGTAAATTGGGAGGTGGCAGCCCCTGTCCTGCAGCTGCCCTCCCTCCGTAGCCAGCCGTTGTTCACTCGGTCACTCTTGCACTGCTACCCCCTTCCGCCCCCTTCTTCCCCCCTCCACCACGTCATCTGTCATTGGGAGGTGACTCCTTCACTGCTCCGTTCGTCCTCTCTCTCGGTGGGTTATAAATTACAGGCAGAGCGGAGTGCCGTATCGCCCACACGTCTTCGCGAGATCGGATCCCCCGGCCACGACCCTCCTCATTGTTATAGAATGACCCGCTGGAAGAAGATATCGCAGATCTACGTCTGAGATCTATTCCAATTGACACAGTACGGGGCAGCAATTTCGTTCGTCACATGACCTATACGTTAATTCTCGGAGGTGGAATTCAGAAATAGATGGATCTTGGCTAATGACGATGATAACGATGGTGACGATGGTGACGATGTGTAACCTCTCTCTCTCTCTCTCTGGACAGACGTTTGTGCTGTCGGTGCCCTGCGGCTTCCCGGAGCTCACGCCGTGGATGTCGGGCTTCCTGGCGGCGGTGGCCGAGAGCGACGACCTCGCGTCGTTGCAGCTGCCGCGCTCCTGGCTCGCCGAGGGCTCGGCGCTGCGCTCCGTCCGCCTGCGCCGGCCCCGCCACCTCATCCTCCCGCGCTGCTCGCTGCGCAGCCTCGACCTGGCGCACATGCTCGCCCTGCCGGCGCCAGGCCCCGCCCGCGGCGACGGCGACGAGGGAGCTCGCGCCGCCGACCGTAACGACGAGGGCCACGGCGACGACGACGACGACGGCGACGGCGACGCCGCCGCCAGCCCGGCCCGCTCGCTGGCGACGCTCAACCTGAGCGGTTTCGCGTTCGGCCGTTTCGGGGTCCAGCGCCCGGAGCAGGCCTCCGCGGCCTTCCTGGACGCGCTGGTGCGCGTGTGCCGCCGCGGCCTGCGCAGCCTCAACCTGGCCGGCGCCCACGTCCACCTGCCGCTGTCGCCGCCGGCGCCCGGGCAGCTGTGCCGGGCGCTGTCCCGCCTGCGCCGCCTGCGCTCGCTCGCGTTGCCGCTGTGCGCCGTGTCGTCGAGCTCCCCGGCGGGGCACGCGCCCGGCGGTGGGCGGGCGCCGGCTGTGTACGTGCGCCGGCGCGGCCCCAGTTCGCGACCCGGCGGGGACGTCGCGGGATCGGCGGAACAACGGGCGGAACCGGTGAGGGCGGCGCCGGAGATGCCGGCGCGCGGATTTGACAAGAAGATGCGGGTAATGAGGACTGCGCCGCTGACGGCGGCGGAGGCACCGGCGGTTGTGTTGCTCGGCGTCGGCGGGGGCGCCCCCGCCGACGCCGGCCCGTTTGCTGGATTGGTGTCGCGGCTGCCGCAGCTGCGCGAGTTGGAGCTGGTGTCGTCGAACTTCGTGTCGGCGCTGCCGCGGTTCGAGATGGCCAACCAGCAAGTGCGGCACTGCGGGCACAGCACGGCGTTCGGGGACGCAGAGCTGGCGCTCATCGGGCAGCTACCGAACCTCCGCCGGCTCACGGTGGCGCAGGTACCCGGGGGGGGGGGGGGGGGGGGGGGGCGAGGGGTGGCGCCCGGCTGGCGGGGCAGCCGGTTCCTGGCTGACGTGTGAGCGAGTGAGCAAATGATGGCGTTGGTCGGTGGGTGCGCGAATGAATGGGTGGGTGGGCGAGTAGGTCAGTCATCAGGTGAGTGAGTGAGTGAAGAAGCAAATGAGTAAATGGGGGAGCAAGCAAGCGAGTGCCAATTGGGTTTTCTCACCCAGCTTCCAACCACTTTCGGCTTGCCTGTGCTCCCACCGACCTTGCCCCGGCAGGCACCCGAGGTGGTGACGGGCACCGGGCTGGTGGCACTCGCTCGGGGCTGCCGGCACCTGCAGGAGCTGTCCCTGGCGAACATCGGCAAACCTGCGCACGCCACGTACCTGCCAGCGCTGTGCCAGGCGCTGGCGCTGTGCCAGAAGCTGCACAGCTTCCGGTGAGTTCCCCCCCCACAAGCGTACGATCGGCTACGATGACGATCACGACGATGACGATCACGATGATATTGCCCCTGCAAACAGGGCCGCCAGGGTGCACAACGGGATATTTGCTCCGGACCACTCACAAAAGAGGACCCCACAATGGACCTGGGGGATGAGGGGATGAGCGAGCCCGCGCGCCATCCTCTCCCAGGCCGCAATAAACCTCTGGGCAGCTCTGCCTGCAACTTAAACCTCCACACATGCACAGTCTTAAATCTTTATCGCAGGGCCTCTGCGAGACTCTGTGGACCTCTGTGCGAGTCTGTGGGACTCTGTACGGGTCTATAGGCCTTTGTACGAGTCTATAGGCCTCTGTGGGTATATGCACCTCTGAGTCTGTTGGCCTATAAGTGAGTCTATAGGCCTATATGTGAGTCTGTTGGCCTTTGCGAGTCTGTTCGACTACGTGGGCCCGTGGCCTCAAGGTGCACATAGTCTGGGCACAAGCATCGTGGTGACGTCATCGCCACTTAGTGGCGAATGGCGGTTGCTGTGCGAGTCTGTTCGACTACGTGGGTCTCTGTGCGAGTCTGTTGGACTACGTGGGACCGTGGGTCTCTGTGCGAGTCTGTTGGACTACGTGGGTCTCTGTGCGAGTCTGTTGGACTACGTGGGTCTCTGTGCGAGTCTGTTGGACTACGTGGGTCTCTGTGCGAGACTGTTGGCGTCAGTGCGAGTCTGTTGGACTACGTGGGTCTCTGTGCGAGTCTGTTGGCGTCAGTGCGAGTCTTTTCGGGCCAGTGATGCGATAAAGGCCACCGCCGCTGCGATCCATTCAAACCCTCGACCTGAACGTTTCTGTCGCCGGGGATCGGCATGGCACTGAAAAAAATGGCCCTGGCTCGGCTCAGCACGGGTGCCCGAGCTAAAAAGGTGGCGAAACGGCCGTAGGGCGGCAATGGGCCACCGGGTGGGGCATCTTGTGGCGTCCGTCTGCAGGCGTGAGCCTCTCGGGAGACGGCCGTTTACAACAAAATACCTTGACGATCGTGCGACTGCAACGCAAACGGTGATGCCGAGGACCGCCATCCACCCGTACGCCTTCCGACGCATCCAATAGAGACAAAGATCCCTCGTACAGCCTTGACAGACTGTTGGGGCAAGTGCTGTTCGCGAGAACTCCCATGAAGGCCGGAACAGTGCACGAGGGGATGGGTGGTAAGGACCATGCCCGGCCGCATTTGTCTCCCCAGTGGCGATGTTTACACACTGCACCAGGCACTCATTTCAGGCCGTGTGGACCTCGGGCAGGCCCAGGACTGGTTCAGATAATCGTCACTCGTGGTGGCCACGGGTAGAAATCGAACCTGGATCGCTGGGTTCGTAGCGCACCCACCCCTCCCCACCCCACACCCACCCACACCCACCCAGCCCCACACCCACCCATACTCACCCACACCCACCCACACCCACCCACCCATGTCTCTGGCGCAGGCTAGAGCAGCCGTACGTGAGTGCGGGCGCCACGTTTTTCCGGGCGCTCCTGCGTTGCCCCGAGCTGCAGCGGCTGTGCGTGGTGTCGCGCGGGGGCGGACTGCCCGAGCCCGACGTCGCCCTCCACTTCGTCGCCGCCTCGCCCCACCTCGTCGTGTGCCACCTCTTCACGGGCGACACGCGCGTCACCTGCAAGGAGCTGCAGAAGGCCATCATGAGGAGGTGAGCGTGGGAGTGAGGAGGAGGCAGGGGCCGCCGGTGGTGGTGGTGGCGGTGATGATGGTGATGATGACTGTGACGACGATAATGTGATGATGATAATGTGATGATGACGACAATGTGATGATGACAAGATAACTATAGCGACGATGATTGACTGCAATAATAATTAATGAATGGGTGGGTGAGTGGCTGGGTTGGTGAGTGGGTTGGTGGGTTTGTGAGTGAGTCATTCAGGGGGTGGGAGGGTGATTGAGTGGGCCGGTGAGTGATTGAGTGGGTGGGTAAGTGGGTGAGTTAGTGATGATGACGACAGATAATGATGATGAGGGTAATGTTGATTGTCGTAATAACGATGGCAGAGATGATAACGATTTAGTTTTCGATGTACCGCTCTCCTATATGCCGGGGGGCATCATCTCGGAGTGCATTACATCTCACATATCAACACATTTCATAGGTCGCACCCCCAGTGGCAGCTGTCCCTGTGTGGCATGAGGTGATTCGGCACCTGGCCGACAAGCGGGCTTCGTCTGCCGGTAGGGGGGGGGGGGGGCGGTGATGTCGCTGCTGTGTGCGTGATCCCAATGGACGATGGGAATGCTTTGGAGTTGGGGAATGAGAATTTGGAAAAGCCGCAACAACCGTAAATTCTGCACGTGCCTGCACGAGTCTTGTGAGCCGAGAATTCACGAATTAAAGTAATTGTTTCTCTCAAGGCCACACAAACACTGCTGTAGATTTACTAACAATACAACGGTAAAAAGAAACGTGGCCTTGGTCATAACATCCTCCAATAGAAAAATTGCCATTACCATCACCACCCGCCCCACCATCACCACCACCACAATCTGCACCACCACGACCCCTATCACCATCAACCACCCCCATCTTCATTACTACCACCCCCATCTCCACCAAGATTACACTTGCTACCACCACGACCACGATCTTCACCACCACCCCCACGAACTCTGCCACCACGACGACCACCACCCTGTTTACCACTACCAGCCCAGCACTGTCTCCACTACCACCATTACTCTCCCATCCACCACCGCCACCACAATGCTGTGTCAACAACAGCGTCATGTGGCTGGCGAGAGATAAGCCAGCTCAGTCTGGGACAGGATGCAGATACTGCACCCCCTCCGCTCCCCCGCCCTCCTACAGCACTCCCTTCCCCCATCTCCCTCCCCCTCCCGGTACCCCCTTTATTCTCTGCACCCCCCCCCCCCCCCGCTGACTCCTACACTCAAGCCCCCACCCCGCTCTCTACCCCCACTTTCCCCCCCCCTCCCGGTACCCCCCTTTTTCCTGCAAAGACCCCTGATACCGCCACGTACTCCGATCCTCCCCCACCAACTGCTACCACCGTCCCTTGCTCCTCACCACCTGCATCTCCCATCCTCCCACCCCTGCACCCACCCCTCACCCACCCCATGCCCCGCCCCCCCCACGCCGCCCCAAGCTTTCCCATGATTCCTTGCGTGCTATTGTGCTCCTGGATTGTCTTTCCGTTGGCGATTTTATTCTTCAACGAGGACAGATGTCTGCGTCATGACCGATCGCCGGTCCCCGTTTTTGCCGTCGCTTTGTCGGGCTTTTGTTTAATTCCTTACGTCGCTTTAAGATCGATGTTGATGATAGATAGATATATACATACGGTTAATACTGCGGGGTTGTTGTGAACCGTAAACTCGACACCGCCATCTGTCTTACAGAGCGTGTGTGAGACACCGCGCTGCGGTTGTCCAGCGGAGAGACCGGAGGTTAGGCAGGCCATCTGTGTGTCGGTAATTTTCCAGGTTCGATCGGCGACCCACAAATGACCGCGGCGTATTCTCCGGATTATAAGACGCGCCACGAACTTGTGCCTGGTGTCTATAAAGTTATACGACAAAGATTACACCCCCCCCCCCCCATGCCCCCCATAGTCTTCAACAGACTGTTTGGGGCAAGTTCTTTTAGCGAGCACCTATGAAGGCCAGCACCACGCCTCAGAGCTAATGTTTACAAACCAAACTAGGTGCTCGTTTTTAAGGCTGAGTCGACCTAGGGGAGCCCCCGGGACCGGGTTCAGATAATCGAACTCCCAAATACACTCGTAGCAGATGATAATGATACTCGCTTTATACTGTACTCTGGAGAACGCGGTGAACCCACGGACTGCATTTAGTTTGCACCCCTTGGTTTCTTTCAATTACACCAAGAGACGGAATGAAGAACACGCGGAACGGAACATGGACAAGTTACAGGCGTCGTATTGACTGTGAAGATGAACCTCGTTTGGGAGTTTCACAAATCCCTGTGTGTTCCAGCCGCCCTTGCCCTCCGAAGCTGTGGAAATCCAAGCCCACAGCTAAAACAGCCCTTTGTCAATCCACTGCTGGATGAAAGGCCTCTGTGTCCTGGGAGTTAACTGACCATACTTCACCATGCTGGTGCAATGCGCCAACCACTGCGCCAACGTTCCCCCTCCCCCTTTATTTTACACAAATAGAATAAAGTACTTTATTTAAAACAAGATCCCGTGCCTAACCTTGGCCTCAAGGCTGTATAGACGGTGCCATAGATTTACCGCACATGGTGAAACACTGAAAAGTAAAATATGACCTTGTCATTAACAACCTCCAGCACAGCAATCACCACCCCCCCCCCCCCACAGCAACCTCCAGCACCAGCACCACCACCACCGCAATAACCCCACGGCAACCTCGAGCACCACAGCAACAACCACCCCCACAGCAACCTCCACCACCACCCATACAACAACCACCACCACCACAGCAACCTCCACCACCACCCATACAACAACCACCACCACCACAGCAACCTCCACCCCTACAGCAACCTCCACCACCACCCATACAACAACCACCACCACCACAGCAACCTTCAAGGCGTAGTGTGGCAACCACTGCACCATGGCCCCACACCGCCACAACTTTGTTCGTCTGTTTCCCCTCTTTCCTTGAATGACAAACACTTCTCTGCAGAAGAGACGATTCCTGCGCCTCTTCAGTCGCAGCAGCTGGACCTGCTGATAGCTGAAGAGGCAGCGGTGGTGGTGGGGGCGGCAAGGGGTGGGTGTGTGGTGGGGGGGGATGCGGGGGATCGCTCTCTGATGTCGGCTGGCAAGAGAGGGGTGGGGGCGGGCTGGTAGAGTCTAGGAAGGAAGATGAGGGCCTCTGGGACTGGGATTAAACAATCAAATGTTGATTAAACGCACGTCACGACAGACGGTTCTTGGCTCAACCTCGCGGCCCCCCCCACCCGAGGCTCCCTCTGTCCTCCATCTGCAAGCCCCCCCCCCCCCCTCCGGCTGCCCCGCCCCCCCCCCCCTGTTCCATGCTCTCGGTGGAAGAGCCTTGACTGGCGAGGCCACGTGGCAGTCCTTCTGGTAGTGGCGCGCTCGCCGTTTATTGCGTGAAGTTCGCTGCTCGAAACGAGCGGCCGCCCTGGTTAATACGGCCTGTGCATCTCCACCGTGAAACGTACGCGCCGTCTGCTTTGCGCTGGACTTGAGAGACACCCGTGGTGTTGTTTCAACAAAGGCAGGCCGTGTGTGATGTGTTAACGTGTCTGTGTGTGTTGTGTTTTGCAGCTGGGTTAGGTCCGGTTAGGTGCTCGGTGTGTGTAAACGTGACTCAGCCTCAAATGAGTACCTGGTGCGGTGTGTAAACATTGCCACTGGGAAGACAAAGGCGGTCGGGCGTGGTGCTGGCCACCCACCCCCTTGTGTACCGTTCCGGCCTTTATAGGTGCTCGCTAACAGCACTTGCCCCTATAGTCTGTTAAGGCTATATGGGGGATCTTTGTTCTTTGTATGTGGGAAGCGGTAGTGTAGCGCTTAGCGCGCTGCACTCCAAACCCGCCGACCCGAGTTTGATTCCCCCTCACAGCCAACACCAGTGACAATTATCTGAATCGGTCCTGGGCCTCCCTTAAGTCGACTCGGCCTCAACTAAGTACCTGGTGCAATGTGTAAACTGCGCTACGAAGGAGACAAAGGTGGCCGGGCGTGGTGTTGGCCACCCAACTCTCTCGTGTGCCGTGCCGCCCTTCATAAACGCTACTCGCTTAACAGCGCTTGCTCCTACAGTCTGTCAAGGCGATACGGGTGATCTTTGTCTTTGTTTCAGCGTGTGCTCGTCGCGTCCAGCTCTCAGCGTCGCCGTCTTCCCGCTCATGCACGACCTCCTGGGCGAGGTGATCCGCTCGCTGCCGCTCTCGCACCTCGACGACTTCACCCTCTTCCGCTCGCACGTCGCTCAGGAGCCGCCCGGATTGTGGCACTGACGAGAGCTGAAGGGGTGGGTGGCGGAGGGGTGGGGGGCAATGGGTGGCAGTGGGTGGTATGGGTGTTGCAGCTACATATTTGGGATTATTCAGGAGCCTTGCCAAGAGTGATTTTTCTCCTCGCATCAGCACTGCGGCATCGTGCTCATCTCTCGTGTCGTACAGCCCTGCAGAGCCAGTGGTGGACATCACACGATCCTAAGGCGGGGGCGAGTCTGTCAGTTGGACAACCGCCGTTGATTTCGCCACAAAGTGGTACTGATTTTATCGACCCCGGAGGGAGGGATGCTGGGCTGTGTCAATGCCCACAAGCAGGATGTGAACTCACAGCCTTCCCATGGCGAGCCGCTCGCTCGGCCTCTGAGCCTCCCGGCCGGATTCAGGAGCCAATGCCGGAGAATACAGTAAACGCTTTCATCCGATTATATTTATCTGTGTGACCGAGGAACTAATGTTCAGGAATATTGCTTCACCTGTTTATTATTTGTACATCCTGATTCGTTTTGCTTGTCACAAAGTAGTCTGCAACAATGTGTTTGTGAGTAGGTCTGTATCCATGTGTTTTACAGAAACGCCCTATGTTTTAAGACTAACTTACGCAACTTAGGGGACGTTGCTTGACCTTGCTTTTTGTTTGTACGGTTTAACGTCTTCATATCAATTTCATACGTCGGCTTTTACCACCGACATTAATGATTCATAATTCGTTGAGTTTGAGTTAGATTGTCGTGGAGGTATAATTTAGATTTTTTTTCTTAACTAATACTCTTCACCACCCAAGGAGAGAGCCAATAAAATGGAGTGGTCACGTCGTGGGCAAATGGATTGAAAACTAATTTCTTTACAACTGCTTATCGCGTTTAGTTTATCGCCCTTCCCCCGCACCTCCGATTAGCGGGGTTGGCTACGTACGGTGCAAAAGGAGTTTAACACGCATCCGTACAAAAGGTGCCGCAGTGGTTCGGTTCGTCAGCAAAACTGGCGGAGGATTGAAAAGCGAGCGGGAAACATCTGGAACGTTTTGTAGGACGTTTCGCAGGGGATTCCAACCAGCATCACTGGGTGATACCAAGAGCTCAGGGGTTGATAGTTTTTGTTTTCGCGAGATCTGAGCTCTTCTGAAATACCTGGTGATGCTGGTTGTGTAGTCTCCAGCGAGAAGTCCTACATAACTGTCAAAATAGCGCTCACATGTCTCGGATCGTAACTTTGTCCTAACAAATGTAGAACTTTCCCCTAAATCTGTAACCACCTTACCCCTAATAATAACCCCAAGACCTTAACCCTCACTTAACATGGGGGGGGGGTACAAATAAGTAGTGGTGAAAGCAATATTAATTTCCTTGTAAGGATTACATGTCATATTCTAATTGTTTAATATTATTCGTTGTGTATCGTTGCTCCTGGGTAGAACGAGACGTTTGTTTACAGAGGGGGAGAAACGGAGAGAGTGACGTGCCTCATTAAGAAGGATTCAGGGTCCCCCCCCCCACCCCGTTCCCCCACCCCCCCACCCCGTTCCCCCACCTGCGATGTAATAACGAGTCACGATCCAGGGTTATTATTCGAGTCAAGAATCTAATTTTAAAAAAAGCACCTGGCGACTGCAGCATGTGTGCTGCCTTCGTTAGCCTAAATATGACGTACGCGTATGCATTATTGCTTTGCATGCAATTTTCATGTAAATTTGCATGTCATTTGCATGTAGTTTGCACGGGTGACCCGAGACTATAAAGGAGCAACCAACTGGCACACGAACAAAACACGAAACTCGAAATAGCAATTCGGGGCGAGACTTTTAAATACGAGACAAAGAAACCATTAATAAATCGTGATAATTCATTGAATCGTTGTGGGTTCAGGAGAACGTGACTGCCGAGCCGAGATGTGATTCGGCCAAAACCGGCGGCCCAGGGTGGAGCTGCGTGTCGAGGGATCGGAGCGGTGCCGGGTAACGACACGGGCAACGGAGTTATCTCCATGAGCACGGCAACCAAGGGCAAGAGAAGACCAAAGACCGAGAGGGTGGGAGACTGTGAGGGCAGATCTATGGGTGTCTGTGCGAGCCTCTGAATCTCAATGCGAGGCTATGGGTCTCTGTGCGAGGCTTAATGGTTTCTGTGTGAGGCTACGAGTCACTTGTGAGTCAATGGGTCACTATGTGAGTCTGTGGGCCCATGGGTTTGTGCGAGTTTACGAGTCTCAGTGTTGAGTCGCAACAGCAGACGCTGGGATGCCTGTTAGGGCGGTTCTTGGAGGTCCGCTGCGTGTCCGACTGCAGGATCTGGCAGAGGGTAGAGAGCTTTGGTAGCGAGGCGTGATGGTGTTGTTTAATTGGCTTTGGCCATAATGACGCCTCGATCTCTGGTGGTTGGGGTGAATTGGTTGAATTGGTTCCCACGTACGGGGGGGGGGGGAGGGGAAGAGTGGAATTGGATGAGAGCGCCGTTGTTCACGGTGATGTCAATTGGTCTGGGTCAGTTTGACTCGGTCTGCTTCGGGCCTGGACAAGTACAACCAGGGTCAAGAATAGTAACGGAGTTGCAACCGGTGAATGGCATGCGTCTGAGAGCACGTCCATGGCGGAGACGGAGGTATTAAATCAGTTCACGTGCTGGGCGGGTTGTTACATCGCATTACCATGAGAGGAGGGGGTTAGGCTTGGGGAGGCCCTCATCCAGCCATGGATTCACCGTGGCTGATTATGAAATGCGACCAAGCCATGCACCTGATCTTGTAAGATCGCGGAAGCTAGGCAGGCTTTAGCCTGGTCAGTACTTGAATGGGAGGCTCCTTGGTAATACCAGATGTTGCAATGGGCTGCTAGGTGACCGTGGAAATGTCAGTACAGCAGTGGATTCTTAAATTCATCTGTGCAGAGCTTTGAGTCGGTGTGTGTATGTGTGGAGTGAGGGGCGGGGGGTTATCCTGGTAGTAGTCTCTCTCCACACGAAGCTACACTCTCATTTATGCAATTGGCCAAACATCCATGTGTAGCAGGACCCTCCTGAGTACCTGGTGCGAGGTGTAAACATCGCAACTCGGGAGACAAAGGCGGCCAGACATCCCAACGCTGAACAAATACAGTACAGGTATACCTCGATTTACGAACTCTTAAACGAAACTGAACGTTCGGTTTACGAAAATTCACGTGAACACAATTGACCAATTGTGGACACTTTTCGACTAACGAAAATCGAATTTCCGCGTTTACAAAATGTCACTACGGCACGTGCCATGGGATCAAACGAGAAGCACCCGGGGGGGCCGCGTCATCCATCCGCGACAGAGTCACAGTGTCCCAACAGGGCAGCAGCAACGCCTCCACATCGCCTTGCCAGTCGCTGAAACGTGCAGTTCTTTCGGTGAGTTCCCCCGATAAGGTGAATTTGTTTTTGGTTTACATTAGTTATTATTTAATGGTTTTCATATTTATGTTCTTTATTATTATAGTTATTTGTATTGTGAAAAGTGATATAGTTGTGTATTTTTAGGTCAGGAGTAGAGTTGGAATGAAGTGTCCGAAACGCGTCCCTAATTTATAGTATTAAATGAATGGGAAAAGCCATTCCGATGCACGAAATTTCGTTTTACGTGTGTGTTTTTTGAAGAACGCATCCCTTTCATAAACCCAGTTATACCTGTACCTGCAAATTATTCAATTGGGATCTCACACAGCAACATGGCCCTCTACTGTGAAACCTTGTCAGGTCTCACCTGACAGTCTTGGGACTCAGCGAGGCCTTTCTGGTTAGATAAAGGACATGAACAAACATCATACACTGGGCCACATCAACTTCCCCTCGGTTCTACTCAATACGAGGCTTCGTTGCTATTTTCCTCCCAGCTGGTTCAAGGCTTGTTCCCACTTCTCTGGGACCATCCCGCATTTTAAATGAGCATGGCCCAGCAGGAGTGCATTTTCTGCTTGTTGCAGAGCTTCGCGGTTGGAGCCCAGCTGGACACCCGCCCTGGTTAATACTGCTGCTTGTGTCAAATGTAAGATTCCACCGCACCGTCTTGCTTCACAGTGGACGTGAAAGGCCATGTGGCGTCAGTTTAACATGTAGGCTTTCGCGACTAATATCCATAAGAGGGTTTTTTTTGTTTTGGGTTAGATCGCGTTAATGTGTCGTTTAACCTGCCACCACCTCGACACAGCCAATTAGTAAGGTTTGTGACGTAAACAAAACACGCCAGTTAGTTACTACTTCAGCACACCGGTGCGTTGGAGAGTAAACCCACAACATGTAACAAATCGAGTACGACGTTTCGCCGGTAATTGCAACCAGCCTCATCAGGCGATAGCCAAAATTATGACGTTCAAAAGGGATTGCCCACGCTTGCCGGTGTCACGGTCCAAATATCCCAGTTTTATTTTTCAATCATCAAACTTCAACTGATGCTCACTGGTGATGATGAACCACTCGTCGGGATCAGAACAGCCCATGCACAGTGACTTGCCATTGTTCACCAGTGCCCGGGAATGTTCACCGGACCACGTCTCGTCACGTCGTAACATCACTGGTTGGTGTCGAGGGTAGAACGTCGCCTCTCCGGCTGGCTACAGACTTGGGTATGGGTTGGTCATGTGAAAAGGTCAGATATTTACTGTACGTCTATAGAATCGATCAAGACGGTTACACCCGGTCGTAAATACTGCCCTTGGGTGTGGGCGCTTTACCGGTCAGGGCGGATATGTCATCTGTTGCGGCCGCATATGCGAGGTCGGAGTATACAGCTAACTCGAGATTATCATTGGGTGGATTCACCCGGTCCGCTGATGAAACCTTCTTTGCGAAAATATATCTAGGAAATTGCACGCCCATTCGGGAATTTGTACACACTTGCACTGGGTCCTAGGTGTCACGGTTAACACACTGGAATTCAGTTCTCCTGGCACGACAGTTCTAATCCCCTCCCGTTGCCTCTGTGCATCCAGCAATGCAAATGGGTGCACTGCAGTCCATCGGTAGGTGTGATGGTGGGTTAAAGTGTGGGTAACGCCCACCTCTTCCAAGACGTCTGGCCAATGTAGGTTTAAAAATAAACTCTTCATGCAGAGAACTCCTGCCAGCAATGGCGTGAGCAAGCAATGGCAGGGCTGTACTTTTTTGTTTATGTTTTGCATTCTCCCGAGTTTTTGTTGTGCCCGGGCCACCCCTCCACCCACCATTACCCCGGATAATTCCGGATAATTGAGAGTTTGTTTCTTCGTCTCAATGGACCATAGCTCGTTGGGTCATCGAAATAAACTAACCTGGGCCTCAAGTTGCATAGCCCTGGTGTATTATGCGCACTATGTTTGTTAAATGGCTGTGTTCTTGTTTGTTGTATTGAATCGGCAATATTAAACACAGTCTTACGACTTCAATGAGTCGATCTAGTCTTGTGTTTGAAAGGCTGCACTGTGTTGGAATTAAACCAGCGATGAGGTTACGCCCATCCATCTCATTTACATCCATAAGCCAGTGTGCCGTACTGACCTTCATTGGGGCTCGCTAACAGCACTTGCCTCAAAAGTCTGCTAAGGCTATACGGGGGGTGGGGGGGGTCTTTTTATATGTTGGTGGTGGTGACGCATGCATTTGATCCAGCGCTCTTGCAGGCAAGGATTGGTGGATCACGCAGATCGAGATTCGCGAAACGCTCCAAAACCCGCGTTGCTGCGACGTGGCCCAGGCAGATGCAGTCCAGCAAGTGGATCAGTGAACCCATCAGCACGGAGCTTTGTGAGCCTTCTCGCCTCGGGAGTGGAACTTCCACGCCTGGATCTGCGGGGGTTGTCGGCAGGCTCGATGGTCATTGTGAGCAGGAAATCACTTTGTGAGCAGGAAATCACTTTGTGAGCAGCGCTCCACGCTTCTTTGCACACAGCTGCACGCAGTCCAAACACAATAACAAACTCGACACATTCGTCAACAGCAATGTGGACCTCAATGAAAGTTACATCATAGGCGACGTTTCGGGAAATTGCTCTTATTCATAGAACTTGTCTACAACATGCTTACATGACGTGAACCCCTGCAGCCACTAGGGGCGCTACAACGCTCTGTATTTGGGCTATGTGCATGATGTCTATGATAAGAAAATAACGCTACTTTTTTCAAATTTTCTTGCTGTGGTTTTCACACCTGATGATGATTGCTTGTGTTGCAGTCGAAACGTCGTGAGAATTTTATTGTTTTATATTTTTATTATTTTATTGTTTCCCTTCTACGTGACTTTACAGAAAGAACCAAGAATATTAATCCCTGCAGTCACGAAAGTTTTCAATCAAAAGATGTCCATGATATTTACTCAAGAAATGTGCATCAGATACTGCCAGTTGCATCCAATCGTTCAAATTAATAACATCCTTAATTCGCTGTCTTCCCCGGCTTCTTTTACTGTACCTATAATTGCCCCCAGTCAAAGCCACATTTATATTGAGTCTCTTGCTTCTCGGTATACGTGTCCAATAAATCTAACTTTCCTTTTGCGAATTATTATAAATGTTGTTGTTGTGTAATCCTGTCCATAGCACATGTACGTCACTCATTTTGTCTGTTCGTCAACTGTTTACCATCCTAGTTTGCTCTGCGGGATCTTGACAATGCACGCACGACCATCAAATAAAACAAAATCGATTCCTCAATCGGGATTCGAGTAACAAATGGGTATGACGTCATCGCGATGTTAACTGCCTCGCCTGATATACAGGTGTCGTGGGTTCAATCACGACCCTGACGCCTGTTGTATATTTGGAGTTTGTGGTGTCTGTCTCCCCGTGGTCGCGTGGATTTGTCTCCGGGTCCTCCGGTTGTGTCCCTCCACATTGAGAATTAACACCACGCGTTTAGAGTGTTTTGGCCGCTATAAATATCCACGTGATAAGCCACTAAGTTGAGTTGCCATGTGTGGCCAGGTCGCTTCTGAAAAAAACGATCTGTAGGAGCTCCAGTGATCCCTTACCTGGTAAAAAAATAAAAAAATAAACATCGTTTAGTTTGACCGCCGTTTCCAACTCAGTGGCGGTGGCGTCACCACAGCGCTTGTGCCAGGCAAGGTGCACCTTGAGGCCGTCACGTATGTCACTGAACGTTGAACTTCTTTCGCAACGGCACGTGGCCGACCGTGCCGATGTGAGGTGCGGTTCGAAGGACAACAAACGTTTAAGCGCAGTCTCCGTTCCTGTTGAGTTTTCGGGCGAAGTGTGTGAGGCTGCCTGCGAGGCAAGGGGCATCACGGGACAGAGACATGCCAACGTGGCTTGACTGAACCAGATGACCGGCAGATGCCCCCCCCCCCCCCCCACCTGTGCCGCCAGCTCGCTGCGTCGATTTTATCCGCCCGGCGCTCCGCTCGCTGTTGTGAGCGTCGCTCATTATTATTATTACACGCTTTTTAACACATTCCTGCGGAGGGAGCTGGTAGGAACGTTGGGTTGCTCGGTCAATGGCCAGGGTCAACAACGGCGGCACCACCACGTGGTGTATTCCGCAAATATGCCCGACTGTGAGGGCGGGCACAAGCCGGCGTGAGTAGGTTAAACGTTGAGTTTTATAAGGGCACCACGGGGTGACCAGCCCCTCCCCACCCAGCCACACCCCTCCCACCCACCACCCAGCCCCACCCTCCCCACCCTCCCCACCCAACCCTTCCCCACCCTCCCCTCTCCACCCAGCCCCACCCCTCCCATTTTTGGATGCACGACGGACGGACGGACACAATAATCCCCTGTGGGCTGGTGGTGTAACCAGGAGGTTCCTACCAGCAATATAATTACACGCTTTTTATTAATTCACTCTGTCTGTTGTATCCTCAAATCTTGTAACTCATTTTTGACGCACTTCTCAATGTGGTATCGACTGCAAACTTTGTAAACTTATGTCATACTAATGACAATACTATATTCTATCATTAAATATACGAAATTATATTTTTAAACATTATTTTGTATATGTTATGTTTCGGCTTGGCTCTAATTGTTCACGCTCAACTGACGTTGGCTGTAAATCACCACGGTCCCCTTACGTTGTTGCAAGCTTCGGGGCCACTTCCTGGAGTCGTGGAATTCTTCCATTACTAGTAGGGTACATTTAATTAAAGCGTGATTTAAAAAAAAGTAAAAAAATATATATAGTGCTTATTTTGTTCGTGCTTTCTCCGCCCTCCGCCGTTTTGCTTTGGAGGGTGGACTCGCCCACACGCAACGTCAATCACCGCTATTGGCCATTCGTGAATTCTCCTCGTCAAGCCCACCCGCTCACAGTTCCCCAACTCGGCATCATCACCACCAGCACCATCAACAACAACTTCAACAACATCAACCTCACCGGGGGCTGTGCTTAGGGGAAGGAGGGAGGGAGGGTCGTGGAGGGAGGTTCGTGATTGATGGGCAGCGACAACTGCCCGCAACGCGAAGAGTCGTCACCTCCCGGGGGGCAGGCAAGGCCGAGGAAGGGATTTCGAAGGCAATGGACACGTTCCCGCTCATCATCTACATCTTGGCGGCCAAGAGTATCCTGCTGTGCCTGGGATTCATGTGGGCCAAGCGCTACCAGGCGAGGCGCCTCGAGAGGCTGGCGGTGCAGGCGGCCCAGGCGGCCCAGGCGCGCCGAGAGGCCGAGTGGGAGAAGGCGGACGGGGCGGGCGGGGCGAGTCGAGCGGCCGGGCTGAAGGAGGATTGAGGGCCGAGGTGAGTGGGGGGGGGGAGTGTGGTGAGTGGGGGGAGTGTGGTGAGTGGGGGGGAGTGTGGTGAGTGGGGGGGGAGCGTGGTGAGTGGGGGGGAGTGTGGTGAGTGGGGGGGAGCGTGGTGAGTGGGGGGAGCGTGGTGAGTGGGGGGGGGGGGGGGGTGAGTGGGAGGGGTGTGGTGAGTGGGGGGAGTGTGGTGAGTGGGGGGAGTGTGGTGAGTGGGGGGGGAGCGTGGTGATTGGGGGGGAGTGTGGTGAGTGGGGGGAGCGTGGTGAGTGGGGGGGAGTGTGGTGAGTGGGGGGAGTGTGGTGAGTGGGGGGGGGTGTGGTGAGTGGGGGGGAGTGTGGTGAGTGGGGGGGAGCGTGGTGAGTGGGGGGGGGAGCGTGGTGAGTGGGGGGGGGGGTGTGGTGAGTGGGGGGGGGAGCGTGGTGAGTGGGGGGAGTGTGGTGAGTGGGGGGGGGGGTGTGGTGAGTGGGGGGGAGTGTGGTGAGTGGGGGGGGAGTGTGGTGAGTGGGGGGGAGTGTGGTGAGTGGGGGGGGAGTGTGGTGAGTGGGGGGGAGTGTGGTGAGTGGGGGGGGGAGCGTGGTGAGTGGGGGGAGTGTGGTGAGTGGGGGGAGTGTGGTGAGTGGGGGGGAGTGTGGTGAGTGGGGGGAGTGTGGTGAGTGGGGGGAGTGTGGTGAGTGGGGGGGAGTGTGGTGAGTGGGGGGAGTGTGGTGAGTGGGGGGGGGGTGTGGTGAGTGGGGGGGGGTGTGGTGAGTGGGGGGGAGCGTGGTGAGTGGGGGGGGGGAGCGTGGTGAGTGGGGGGGGGGGGGGTGTGGTGAGTGGGGGGGAGCGTGGTGAGTGGGGGGGGAGTGTGGTGAGTGGGGGGGAGCGTGGTGAGTGGGGGGGGGGGGCGTGGTGAGTGGGGGGGGGGGGGGTGTGGTGAGTGGGGGGAGCGTGGTGAGTGGCGGGGGGAGCGTGGTGAGTGGGGGGGGGCGTGGTGAGTGGGGGGGGGAGTGTGGTGAGTGGGGGGGAGTGTGGTGAGTGGGGGGAGCGTGGTGAGTGGGGGGAGCGTGGTGAGTGGGGGGAGTGTGGTGAGTGGGGGGGAGTGTGGTGAGTGGGGGGGGAGTGTGGTGAGTGGGGGGGAGTGTGGTGAGTGGGGGGAGTGTGGTGAGTGGGGGGAGTGTGGTGAGTGGGGGGAGTGTAGTGAGTGGGGGGAGTGTGGTGAGTGGGGGGAGCGTGGTGAGTGGGGGGGAGTGTGGTGAGTGGGGGGAGTGTGGTGAGTGGGGGGGGGGGTGTGGTGAGTGGGGGGGAGTGTGGTGAGTGGGGGGGAGCGTGGTGAGTGGGGGGGGGAGCGTGGTGAGTGGGGGGGGGGGGGTGTGGTGAGTGGGGGGGGAGCGTGGTGAGTGGGGGGAGTGTGGTGAGTGGGGGGGGGGTGTGGTGAGTGGGGGGGAGTGTGGTGAGTGGGGGGGAGTGTGGTGAGTGGGGGGGAGTGTGGTGAGTGGGGGGGAGTGTGGTGAGTGGGGGGAGTGTGGTGAGTGGGGGGGGGAGCGTGGTGAGTGGGGGGAGTGTGGTGAGTGGGGGGAGTGTGGTGAGTGGGGGGGAGTGTGGTGAGTGGGGGGAGTGTGGTGAGTGGGGGGGGGTGTGGTGAGTGGGGGGGAGTGTGGTGAGTGGGGGGGAGCGTGGTGAGTGGGGGGGGGAGCGTGGTGAGTGGGGGGGGGGGGGGTGTGGTGAGTGGGGGGGGGAGCGTGGTGAGTGGGGGGGGAGTGTGGTGAGTGGGGGGGAGCGTGGTGAGTGGGGGGGGGGGCGTGGTGAGTGGGGGGGGGGGGGTGTGGTGAGTGGGGGGAGCGTGGTGAGTGGCGGGGGGAGCGTGGTGAGTGGGGGGGAGCGTGGTGAGTGGGGGGGGAGTGTGGTGAGTGGGGGGGAGTGTGGTGAGTGGGGGGAGCGTGGTGAGTGGGGGGGAGTGTGGTGAGTGGGGGGAGTGTGGTGAGTTGGGAGAGAGTGTGGTGAGTTGGGAGTGTGGTGAGTTGGGAGTGTGGTGAGTTGGGAGAGAGTGTGGTGAGTGGGGGGAGTGTGGTGAGTGGGGGGAGTGTAGTGAGTGGGGGGAGTGTGGTGAGTGGGGGGAGCGTGGTGAGTGGGGGGGAGTGTGGTGAGTGGGGGGAGTGTGGTGAGTGGGGGGGAGTGTGGTGAGTGGGGGGAGTGTGGTGAGTGGGGGGAGTGTGGTGAGTGGGGGGGGTGTGGTTGAGGGGGGGGGAGTGTGGTGAGTGGGGGGGAGTGTGGTGAGTGGGGGGAGTGTGGTGAGTGGGGGGAGTGTGGTGAGTGGGGGGGTGTGGTGAGGGGGGGAGTGTGGTGAGTGGGGGGGAGTGTGGTGAGTGGGGGGGGAGTGTGGTGAGTGGGGGGGGGAGCGTGGTGAGTGGGGGGGGAGCGTGGTGAGTGGGGGGGGGAGCGTTGGTGAGTGGGGGGGGGGAGCGTGGTGAGTGGGAGGGGGGGAGCGTGGTGAGTGGGGGGGAGCGTGGTGAGTGGGGGGGGAGCGTGGTGAGTGGGGGGGGGTGTGGTGAGTGGGGGGGGGGGGCGTGGTGAGTGGGGGGGGAGCGTGGTTGAGTGGGGGGGGGAGCGTGGTGAGTGGGGGGGGGGAGCGTGGTGAGTGGGAGGGGGGAGCGTAGTGAGTGGGGGGGAGTGTAGTGAGTGGGGGGGAGCGTGGTGAGTGGGGGGGGGGGTGTGGTGAGTGGGGGGAGCGTGGTGAGTGGGGAGGAGCGTGGTGAGTGGGGGGGAGTGTAGTGAGTGGGGGGAGTGTGGTGAGTGGGGGGAGCGTGGTGAGTGGGGGGGGAGTGTGGTGAGTGGGGGGAGTGTGGTGAGTGGGGGGAGTGTGGTGAGTGGGGGGGGGGGTGTGGTGAGTGGGGGGGGAGCGTGGTGAGTGGGGGGGAGTGTGGTGAGTGGGGGGAGCGTGGTGAGTGGGGGGAGCGTGGTGAGTGGGGGGAGCGTGGTGAGTGGGGGGAGTGTGGT